CTGTTTTTCAATTTAATAATATTTTTGTTGCTTTTTATCAATAGTACATTCTTTACTCAAACGCAATTTTAACTCGTGCCATTTTTGAGCGCTTTTCATACGTTCCATGCTATTTTCATGACGAGAAATATTAACAGAAAGGTGCCTCCAGTTACTTAATTATGTTTATTTTATTTAAATAAATAAGTTAACTTATTTTACTTACTTCTAGCAGTTTATTTGCCGCCTTAAACTTACAATTTACAATAAACTTTAATGACAATGATATTGCGAACAGAACATCCTAACCCATAAGAAAAATCTAACGACTGAATTAAAACGTTACGGTTAAAGGTCGATTCAGACACATCAGTCACGTGTCGTCACCATCTCGTCACAGTGATTGCGCCGAATCGAACAATCCGTCATACAAAATATTCTTTAATACAAATATGGCGCCGGCATTCACACTCATCAGTTGACGAACAGTTTGCCAGCTGTCAGATAGTTGATAGTTCTCCTGACCAAACAGGACCGGTTCGGTACCGTGACTGATGTGTCTGAATCGACCTTTACTGTGCAAACGACAATTTCGTCAGAGGCCGGCGCATCGCGCATCCTTTCTTGAGACAACCACGCTGGCGGCATGCCGGCAACACAAAACATTAAAAATGAGCATCGTGCGGCATAAGACGGCGCGTCGCATGCTGACACTAATAAAATTGTAGGGTGGTAATTTAATTAGTAATTTTGGTATTATAATAGGGAATAGTAAACGGATGAAGTGATTGCTTTAGCACTTGCCGGGGAAATACTGAACACTGACTTTTTTGTTTTAGAAGTGAGAATATCTTTTTAATGGTAACCAAATATTTGGCGCCCCTAAAATTTAGCGCCTGCGTGCGGGGCATTCATTGCATACCCGCCAGGAACGGCCCTGGTTGCAACTGACAATTTTTTCATAAAGTGATGTTTTAATGTATAATGGTTACTTATACAGTTTAATACACAGTGGTGCTACCCTTTAGTTGCTAGTTAAATTAAACTATTATAATTTTTAGTACTGAAATTTGAGATTAGTGTAAAAAGGTTACATTTGTAAGAAACAACGTCTATTTCTCCAATGTGTAGTGTTTTAAAAAGGTCAAAAAACGAAAAATACACTATGACCAATGGCAGCAGGTAAATAATAAAAGGTTAAAGGATAGTGAAAAAAGCTATATGGGCCAAAAAATATTGTAAAAGCCGAAAAACAGTGTCCAAATGAGGTGAGTCTAAAAACGTTACATGTGTATACTCTAACCTTAAATTTTTCTCCTGCGTTTTGTTGTGTACTACAGCACGTCTGTTTTAGGATTCAACTTGTTCGTTTACTTGCAACTATGATGGTTGTTCCATGCTTAACTAGAATTTGGAAAGTTGATATATTTAATCGTTTTTACTAGTATTCTTATAATGAGCAGCAGTGGTTACTTGCAGAATGTATGGAGTTAAGAGAACCTAAACGAAGGATTGTGCCTGAAGATATCTCCAAACGCCAATGTACTATCAAGTATTCACTTTCAGTAAATATTATTACTTTAAAACGGCAGCAGGTATGTCAAAAACAAATTATATCTATTTTGAATTTAACTCGGCGGAGATTACAACTTCTTGCAAGTAAAGTTAAGCAAGGTCTAAGCATCGTCGATGGTCGTGCTAAACATAACAATAGACAACAAAATATTCCTAATGCAGATTAAGAGCATGTCATTAGGCATATTTTTTCTTTTCCTAGCCAAGAAAACCAATATTCGAGAAAATCAAATAAAAAGAAATGTCTTGCTCCAGACCTATCCACAATTAGAATGTACCAATTATTTCGAAATAAGTATCCTACCACAAGGGTCCAATTACACTGGTATATGTCAATTTTTCTTGACAAATTTAACTTAAGATTTGGTTCAAAAATCCACAAGGAATCTACGTTCCTGTAGTTGGCTGTATACCATGTATTAAAAATTTAATTAAAAATCCTTTGTAATAGGTATATATTTACGGTCCAAACGGGCTAGGTTAAAAAGACAAAACGTTCACATATAAAATAAATAGATTTATAACACATTTAAAAAATATCAAGATCATAGATCAACCTTTAGCTAAATCTTTACATAATTATGATGGATATGCTCCAAGATTTTATTGTCTACCAAAAATACATAAACCTACGTTGAGCATGAGACCTATTGTGTCATCTATTAATTCACCTAATATAAAAATAGCTAAATTTCTAACAGACATCTTATCTAAATCATATAATTACAACAATGACTTTAATATTGTTGATTCTTTCAACTTTAGTGAATTTATTAACAATTTTCAACTACCACAAGGTTACATTTTAGTAAGTTTTGATGTGGTGTCTCTCTTCACTAACTTACCTCTGTCCAGTATAATCACTTCCTTAAAAAATCATTGGAATTCTATTAAACATAACTACCCTGTGTCTTGGGATATATTTGCAGAACTGTTGCAACTTGTTTTCGACACTAATTTCTTGGTCTTTGATGACAAATTTTACCTTCAAACATTTGGTACACCTATGGGTTCCTCAATCTCTCCCATCCTAGTTAACTTTGTATTGGATGATTTGGTTTCTGACCGTTTAGGTCTTTTGGATTTTCAAATCCCTTTTATTAAAAGGTATGTGGATGATTTATTATTAGCCCTACCACCTGACAAGGTTCAGGGTACCTTATCCTTCTTTAATGAGTTTGATCCTCATTTACAGTTCACTGTTGAACTTGAGGACACTACCACCAATAGTATACCCTTCCTAGACATGCGTGTCATTAGAATGGGAGACAACACCCTAACCACAAGTTGGTATAGAAAACCAATGGCCTCTAATAGGTTCCTTAACTACCATTCCTGTCATCCCATGAAATATAAATTAAACCTTATAAAAGCTTTGAGCTACAGATTAAATAAATTGACACATCCAGTTAATCGAAGGGAATCCTTTAAGTTATTGAGAAATATTCTAATAGAGAATTCATATCCTTCATCTATCATTAATAAATACCTTTATTCACATAGCTATGGATCCTCAATTTATGACATACCCGATGGTGACCAACTTAGAAACATCTCAAATAATTCAATAAATAGCATTGTTCTGCATAATACTGTTCTTGAGAATACTACCACCCATTATTCTTATTTACCTTATTTCCCTCAAGTTACTGAGAAGCTTATTAAATTGTATAAACAAAATAATATACCGGTTAAAATTGCGGTTAAGAATGCTAAAACTGTTAGAAATTTGGAACAAGTTACAAGCACTTTGGAACAAGTTAACACAATTTATAAAATTCCATGCGCTAATTGCGATTTATGTTACATTGCTCAAACTGGTAGATCATTAAAAGGTCGTCTCACTTCACATCGTAGTGACATTAATTTATCAAAACACACTTGTGCAATGGCACAACACGCGATAAATACCAAACATGAAGTGGATTTCAATAAAGTTAAGATCCTTGCCACTGAACGCAATCTAGCTAAAAGACAGTTTTTGGAAATGTGTTCAATACTAAAACTCCCTAATGCTTTGAATAAAAGAACTGACATAAGTAACTTGAGCCAAATATATCATGCTTTAATTTTGCAGAATTAGGCTTCTTGATCTTTTCACTATATTAAATGTCATATTAGGTGTACTACTTGAACCTTTTTCCATTTTTCATGAAATAATTTATATACATAAAATAGAAATAAAATACATAAAATAACTAAATAAAATAATGAAATATTCTTTACTTAACTTATTATTACATATGCAACTTACATTGCATTTTCATACACTGATTACTTAGATTAGTGTGAACAATTTATACTTAAATAAAATAATACAAATAATGTAATTGATTCATAGAATCCTTTGCAAGTTACAGTTCCAAGTACATGAACCTTGGGCTGTTGGAAATTAATGTGTCGTTAACTACCTGTGGCTGATTAACTAGCCATAATGATTAACGTTATTACATACATATGAGGTTGAATGAAAATCTCCTGTTTGTAAATCTAGGCTGATTAGTGAGAGGAGTTGCTATTACAATACCAGTTTCTTTCACTGTTTTGTCTTTTGCAACCGGGTAGTCATCCAAACTCATTTAAACTTTTAAATTGACCGCCCAATTATTTGGGTTGGTACCTCCACCTTGCTGATCTGTCAAAAGTATTTTGACCTCAAGGTTGGCTGTCTTTTCGCGGTTTAGTTCGTTCCGGTTCATCTAACGCCATTTTTCCGGCGACACTTGTAGGGCTTTGATCGGTTACTTCATTTACACTACTTTTAAAATTTTTATTAATATCACTTATAATGCTACCTAAAGTTAAAATCAAAGCTTAATAATCATAAAATAGTTGGAAGTTATCTATGATTTTCTTGGTTCTTGCTCACTAATTAACATTAAATAACATTTAATTTACTTTAGACCACATGGTCATTTGCTATGCTAATTTTATAAGTTCATATATGTTGTTAGTTACTTAATTGTTTATACAAGATCAGCGTATTATGTCCATTTACTTAGTTTCATTCACATTATGTTGTTAATAACATTGACTGCTACATGTCTTTTTAAGGTAACAATTAACATCGTTTCTATGATTGTGTGGTTCTCATATTGTACTTTTTTAGATGAACTGATGATGCTTTCAAAACTCGAAAGCGAAACGTCTTCAAAATAGATAAAGTAGCCTATCAACTTTGTCTTTTATTTCTCCACACTATGATATACTATATATATATATATATATATATATATATATATATATATACATATATATATATATATATATATATATATATATATATATATATATAATTCCATTTTATATTTATTCCATCTGATTTCATTATTGTGCATTTTTAATTAGTAATAAGAAAAGATGATCCTATACCTTAGTGAGCTAGTCAAATTTATTAAATAATGAAACCCACCGTGTCCCTGTAACAAATAAAAAAAAACTAGAAGATATCGATAGATATTATTTAATAGAATACATATACAAATAGCAACAAAATATTATTTCGTGTAAAGTGATAACTATACCATCATAATAAACTGATGGATTTTAATTTAAAGCTAATTTGGAAAATTAAATTAAAACAATACCTATATTATACATAAAATACATTAACTTATAAAATGTGTAAAGAAGTATAATACAAATAGGTGTACATTCTACATTCATTCATTTAAACAGACTGTTCTGATAATAGCTTCAGATACAGAGTAAGGATCGCAATTTGAGGCAGGTCTTCTGTCTTCCAAGTATCCTTTCTTGTCTTCAGCACAGCCACGGGGAATTCTGATACTTGCTCCACGATTTGCAACACCTAAAATAGAAAAAATTGAAATGTAGCAAAACTAATAGTTGATATTTTTAAACTTTGTAGGAAAAATGAAACAATGATTGTATGATCAATAAACAAGTTATAAATGATTATAGTAAACTTATACTAGTAAATATAAAGAATTTGACGGATGTATTATATCCTTATTTACTATATTGGCCATGAGTTTAGTACACGAAGCCAGTCAAGATACCTTGACACTGATTGGTTTACTAGAAATTATAAATAGTTTATTTCAAATTCACAAAAATTTTAAGTTAGATATAAGTCAAATTACTAGTAGAATAGACAAATTAGAACAAGAGAACGATATAGAAACCGATATGGAAAATAAAATAGAACAACAAGACGATTTAAATAACAACAAATGGATTTAAAATCTAATTTAGAAAGACCAATAGCTGAGTTAGTATTTAATATCAAAATATTAACCAGATATTTGTAAAGGGCCTCGTGTCTTTAGTGGTATATATATTTGTTTGTAATAATATAATGTTTGTCCACGTTTGGCATACTATAAGCCACGAGAATGTTCAGATATTAGCGTTGCAATACATATCAACACGTGGAGGATGACCTCAAAAGAAAGACATAAATTTAGCAGCGGAACGTTGAGAAAGCGAGTTATAAATAAATCATGTACCAGTAACTGAGTTTAAACGTATTGTAGTCCGGATAGTGTCAATATATGGTCTTTAGGATGTGGTGAGTTTTGTTAAACAAACAATACTTAGCAATCCTGGAAGGTAAGCGAATTAGACGATTGAGCCTGCAGATTCCTTCAATTAACCTTATAGAAAAAAATAAATATACAGTCCATGAGCTATCAAAGAAGCAAACTATCTAGGGGGTTAAGCTATTCCTAATTCTCCTGAAGCTCTCTTTCAATCGAAAAGGCGATAGAAAAGGCAAGGCAGGTCCCACCTCAAGATGAAGAAATACGGACAGAGCCTGGTGTTCTCATTGCCCGCCGTAAGATTTATGCGATTAACGAAAACACAAATGGCGTGCTCACTGGCCGTTATAATTAACATGGATACTAGACCTCACTAAATATTAGAAGAGGTCTATAATCTAAGAGGTCTGTGATCCATTACTTAGTGCAAGATAAACCACCCGGAACTTTCACCAAATTGCATAGCTAAGACATGAAACGTCACACTACTTACAACCAGCAAAGGAATACAAACGGTAGTTGTTGGGTATTTAAAGGCACCTATCACAGTGTCCACATATCAATGTCAATATTTGAAATGTGGTAAGTTTAATAAATAAATAATACTTAGCAACCCTTGAAGGTAATCCAAATAGACGACTGAGCCTGCAGTTACCTTCAACTAACCTTATAGAAGAAAACAAATACACAGTCCACGAGTTATCGAAGAAGCAAAATATCCAGGGGCGAAGCTATTCCTGATCCGAAGCACAACCATCCTGTCTCTTTTATACAGTTAGAAAGAAAAATGTGTACTTAAGTTTTCGTATCTAATTATTTCAGTAAATAGTATCGAATCTAAACAAACAGCCTTATCATCTTTCATCACAGCAATTAGAAGTAGTAAACTTTTAAAATCATCCATACTCAATGGTCAAACAGCCTGAGAAACTTATCGTTTTTAATTTGAAGCTAAAATGGATAGATTGAGAAAGAAATATAATATAAATCAACCAAAAGTTCGATATCAAAAACATAACGAAAGTCTATAAGAATTTGAGGCCTCAGGCACCTAAAGATTTTCTGGAACAAATTGGTATACAAGCATTCATAGATGAACTACAGGATGTTTAAATGCAGCAAGCTCTCCAATTACATCACAAAACGGTAAAGTGAGCACTAAATTCAACCCATGAGTATAAAGCTGAGAAAAATATTTTCAGATCTCGCCTAAATTTAACAGAAATAAGATTAAGAAAAAATGAAGTCACTACGGCAGATAACCAACAACCTATTTTATCCCAAATGTTAAACATAGCGAAAAATCTTTAACAAAAATCTCAAATTAAAAACAAAATGTGTAAAGATTATACATTTTATACAAGCGCATAGCCCAGAGGTAGAAAACGATGTGATTATATCGTTTTCGTTCACGGCCGCCAAAACAGGTGGCGCCTCTGCTCGCAAACCACTGTAGTGGTGAAGCTTTAGAAGACATTCGTTCTACTTTCCGTGTTTGCATTTGTATCAGCCCAAGTGTCTGACGATGGCTGGGATAGGCCGAAATGATCATAACACTTTAGTGATACCGATTCGAGCACGGGAAGTTTAACGAATTTGTCTTCCTAGGCCATATATTTGGCCAATTTAATAAAAACAAAATGCCTGTTAACATATATAATAATATATAATATATATATATATAATATATATATATATATATATATATATATATATATATAACAAAGAATAAAATAATGTCAGAATAATCCATAATAATACAATTCTTCACGCCATTATACAAGGAAGAGTGGAGGGAAGAAAAAGCCTGGGAAGAAAGAAGAAATCTTTGCTGAGGAATATCTGAGATTGGACTAACCTCGGTATTGAACAGACATTTTACGTGCAAAAGATAGGGAAGTGTTTAAAGAAAGAATTGCCGAAGACGGCTCAATAAGAAGAAGAATAAAAGAAAGAAGAATAGGTCTCTAAAAAAACTAATTTTCCACAACTGACCACAGAAAGGAAAAATATACTTTGGAATCTGAGGTTGTTCATTTGAACGAGCAACTAGCGATTAGTAAAAATGAAACAAAAAAGTTAAAAGAACAGGTGTCAATTTTGCAAGAGCAGTGTAACATTGAGAAAAATGTGTTAAGTAAACAATTACAAGAATTCCAAGATGCTTTGAACAAATTACAGGTTTAAAGCCAGTATCAGTTTGACAAAAAAGACAACTAAACTAAAGGGGTAAGTCTCCATATGAGCACAGTTCACAGGCAAACAGAAATAAGAAATAGATTAGATTTCCCAGCGAAACTATAAAGGCGTACTAGGCTCAATGGGAACCTCTGTATCATTCTAATGATCTATTATGTCGAAACTTTATATATTATATATGAAGAAGTTAGTATATAGTGTAACTTTTATAATGCCTAGTACCTACATCACACCAACATAATCAAGATATCTACCGTAGAAAAATAATAAGATCACTGTAAAAGACTTATCATAGGATACACTACATTATACTATAAGATAAATTTTTTTGTAAAGACTTAAATAAAACACATGATTTCATATTGTTAATTCACAATTTTCAATGAAGGATTAGAAAATTCCGCCATGGTTCACCAAGGAAGTAATATTTGTAGATTGCGTTTTGATGACTGGAAACAAGTTTTGATTTTCAAAGTCAGTCGTTGAAACACAAATTACAATGCTGTTGAATGTTCGTCGAAACAGATGATGTTCTATGGTGATCTTCCTTTAATGATGAACAACTGCTTTCTAAGTTCATCCAGCCGAGCCAAGTAAAGGAAATATCGTTAGGGGGAGCTGTTGACTTTCTGTATGACCTATTAAGAGATTAGATGCTGCTGACAGAAGAATAGACTTGAAATCTAGGCCCTTGCTGATCTTAGTAGATCAGAGGAGAATCGGAATATTTGAGTGTCTAGACGTGCCGAAGACTCGGTTATCGTAGGCCTAGCCCTCATAACGCACGATACCTGCTTCAGAGGTTTCAGTATCTAAATGACACATCTTCGAATCTATCATACCTATTACCTATTGCGACTGATTTCTTATGTTTTACGTGATAACTCGCTTACTCTATTGACGGACCTATATCATTATATTTTCAAAATATCTCTAAACGATTGATAGAGTATCAAACTCTAAAAAAAATTCAAGATACTTACCAGCACTAAAGTCATGGATAGAAGATGTTTCGTGTTTGCCAGTAAGACGACGTTCATTGTCTTTTCCTCCTTTAGGGTCGTAGGCTTTGATGTGTCTAGCGTGGTTTTTGCTAAGTTTTTCAATAGCTTTTTCAATTTCACTGAAAAGAAAAGAGAGCTGTTAGTTAAGAATAAAGGAAATGGTTACATATTATTAATTCACTATTTTCAATTAAGGATTAGAAAATTCCGACATGGTTCATCAAGGAAGATAGATTTATAGATTGCGTTTTGATGCCTGGAAACAAGTAATTACAAGATGGAGAACATGTCTAAAGCTGGTTTTTTTACTTTGAACCCTGAAATAAAATAGAATTAGTTATATCCGAATTTGATGATGTTATTTCCGAATCTATTCGAGAGCAAAAAAATATTAAAACATCCGAAATTAAAACAGCAACTCTCCTGTATAAATAAAAATTATAAATTGTTAGTTAACACAACTATCTTATTAGAAAGACAAGAGGCAAATTTATGTAAGTCACTAAAATTAATAGATAATTTAAAATCAAAAATTTAATGTTTTGAATGGTAAATTTTCCGAGAAATTTAAAATTGAGCCAGATTTACATTACAAACCCGCCCTGGAATATGTTACAATTGCATTTGTCGATGTATAACGTTCATTTTAAATGATCTTCCATCAATTTAAGAACTGCTGATGACAGTTTGCTACAGTAGTCAGTGTCTTAATCAACTGGCTAAAAACATCGACGTAATTTTGTTATAGGTGCGAGGACATAGCGAAATTGCTGGTACAAAAATTGCTAAGGAAAAACTATTACTTCGTTTCTTCTTCTTAACGTGCCCTATCAAGTCACCTTGACGTTGGCGATTAACATGGCGAAACTGTCTCTGTCTCGAGCTATTCTAAATAGTTGCTCAGCTTTCTTTATTCCTGTCCACTCCCTGATATTCTTCAACCAAGAGGACTACTTTCTACCAATTTCTTTGCGTCCTTCGATTTTACCCATCAAAATAAGTTGATGAATATTATACCGGTCTCCCCTTACTACGTGTTCAAAATAGGCCATCTTTCTACATTTGATGTTATCAAGCAGCTCGCGAGCAGCATTTGCTCTTTCAAGGACTGCCACATTTGTCAGCATAGCCGTCCATGGAATTTTTAGTATACGTCTGTGCAGCCACATCTCAAAGGCCTCCAAACGATTAATGGTGGATATTTTTAATGTCCGTGCTTCGACACCGTATAAGAGGACTGACCAAATGTAGCATTTAACCATGCGCTTTCGAAGTTGAAGTTGCAAGTTATCATTACAGAAGAATGACCTCATTTTTAAAAATGTCGTGCGGGCTATCTCGATTCTACAATTTATTTCTTGATCTGGATCTAGTTGTTCAGTAATATGGCAACAAAGATATTTAAAACTGGACACTCTTTGAATTATATGACCATCAACATATAATCGTGCATCTTGATGTGCTAAACGGCTAAACACCATGTGTTTTGTTTTTGAGCAGTTTATGTTTAGGCCAAACTCTCTTCCCACTTTATCAATAGCATTTAAAAGGCATTGTAATCCATTCATGTCATCACTTAAAATAACTGTATCGTCTGCATATCTGATTGTATTTATCAGAATTCCATTAACTTTTACGCCCCATTCCAAATTATGCAGCGCTTCTTTAAATACTCTATCTGAATATAAATTAAATAACAGTGGGGATAGTATACAACCCTGTTTGACACCTCCTTGTATTTTACATATTTCTGTTGATTTTCCGTTTATGCAAGCTGTCGCTGTTTGACGCCAGTATAACTTTTCTATGAATCGTATGTCTTGACTATCAACTCCTTTATCTTTTAATATTGTAATTAATTTGTGATGCTGTACTCGATCAAAGGCCTTTTCATAGTCAATAAATACAGCAAATACGTCTTTCCTTTGATCTCGACATTTCTGCAGTAATGCATTTAGTGCAAAGAGGGGGTCCCGAGTTCCCAGTCCATTTCTGAAGCCAAATTGTGTTTCATCCTGATCTTCTTCACATTTATCTCTGATTCTACTGTGGATGATGCGTAGAAATATATTCAAAGTGTGGCTCATAAGGCTTATCATTCTATAACAGCTACAGTTTTTCGGACGTTGTTTTTTTGGTAGTGTTATGAATTCGGACTTTAACCAATCTTCAGGGATATCACCAGTCGAATAAACATCATTGAAAAGTTTGACCAGTATTCCAATGTTCACCTCATTTATAAGCTTTAACATCTCTGTCGGTATGTTATCAGGGCCAACGACTTTCTTGTTCTTTGCTAACTTTATAGCATGCAGTATTTCTGATTTTAGTATTTCTGGTCCTTCACCTTCAACTAAAGTCTCCGGTTCTTCGGGTCTATCATCATTATAGAGTTCACTTATATAATTACACTAAGTTGTTCGAATTTCATGTTCGTCTATTATCATTTTTCCCGACGAATCGGCTATAGTATGTGGAGTTTTCTTATGATAAAGACCAGCTACTTCTCTAATTTTTTTAAACATATTAAACGTATCATGTTTTTCATTCAACTTTTCTAATTCCTTGCATTTATTTTTTGTTTAATTAGTTTGTTTTTTCTTATATTCTGTCTTGTTACCTTTCAGTTTCCTTTGCTGTTCCAATAATTCCAGGATTTCATCAGTCATCCATTGTTGTTTTTTGTACCTGTGTAACGTTGTTGAATATTTTTCTATTACTTTCAAGGTAAGATCTTTAAATGTGTTCCATATTTCTGTGTTGTTTTCATTTATTGATTTCTTTAGCTCATTGTTTAAGTCATTTTCTATTAACGTTTTGTTGGATATTGAGATATTTAATTTTGGTGTTTTGGGGCTTTTTTGGACTTTTTTGAGCTTCACTTTGATGTCAGTTATTACAGGGTTATGGTCTGAACCGATATCTGCACCAGGATATGTCGTTACTCTGGTGACGCCATTCCTAAATCTCTTGTTTACCAGAATATAGTCTATCTGATTTCTAATCATATGTAGTGAATTATCTCTTGGTCTCTCAACTTACTGCAATAATAACAGACAAACAATTCTGATTTATAAAGGGAAGCTCGGCAATGTTTGATATCAAAACCGCTTTGAATTGAGCAAACTGGAATACGATAATCACAAAGCTTAGTGATGTAGGAATATCTACATACTTAAACCCATAACGAATAGAACAACGGTATTATCAAAAAAATAAAGAGATACAACTAACAGCTGGAGTACCGCAAAGGTCAGTACTAGCACCGATAATGTGGAGCGTTATATACAAGGGTCCTGACAACAGTAAGAGACACAAAACATACAAAATGACGAAAAGTTATTGCTGGAAAAAGTATATATGGTGCATTAAAAAGTAAAAAGATATGTGGAAGAAAATGATCTACCAGTGGTGAAATAAAAAACGAGGTGATAATATTAAAAGTTGGCAGAGATAACAAATACAATAATTTTACCTTTGATGGTGTTGAAATAACCCCACTTATCACAAGAATGATATTTAGGTACACAAGGATATAAAGGTTTAAAATTTACCGCGAATATAGGAAAAGTAGTTGATAAAGCTGAAAGAAGACAAAAAAATGTGCTGAAAATTATTCCAAAAGTACGAGAATCAAGCTACTATAAAAAAATAATGTATTTAAATTTACATTGCTATACTCAGCTTTTGAGTCGAAATATGTTAATCAAGGCATAAAGTAAACAATTGATTAAAGTTATCGAGGGCTACGGCTCCATTAGAGGTGAAAGCTGGTACGTTGAAAACACCATCTAGTAGAAGAGAGATGCCTATGATATGAAGGTAGAAACATAAACCGATTATATGAAATGAGATTAGAAAAAAATTCAGGAAAACCAGGGTATAAATTAAAATTTAAGGAAACTATTGCTTCACGTATTTGCTAACGTAATTTGGTTCTTTAGGGCGTACACGTTCCGTATTAATAAAACAAGATATTACCTATGTAGAGTATGCGGCATTATGGACGATATCAAATACTGCATATTTAAATGACATATATTCACAAAGGAGGAAAAAGAGTTAAAAATAATATTAGAGAAGGTGTAACCGGACAGTATAATACGAAGGTCCTTCATGGATGGTAGAACTATTAATGATACTCTAGTCACTAAGATCACTGAAGCAAAAAAATATTAGGGCGCACACGCACAGCAAACGGGACGCTGACCGATATAATTAGAAATTTTAGATAAAGGTGCATGAGCATGGCACACCTGAAGTTACGTTCACAGAGAAATTACTTGCGCACACGGATAGGAGTGTGTTTTTCGTAGATGGGTGCTCTCTCAATGCTCGATCTGAGTCAAACACACGACCAGTCATCCCTTGAACCTACTGGAGATAGGCTAGGAACAATTTTTCGGAAAATTTTTCATACCACCTAAAAAAAGATACCTACTTTAAACTAAAACATAGATGTCGAATATATACACAAAACATCTTTTACGTCGCTGTATGGAAATATTTACAAGACCAAATGACTCCTTCGAATTATTGGAATAAGCATGATTCATCAATTTTATTTTTGAGTTTTAAAATCTGACGATTCCGCTGATCCCATAATTTCCCTTATTTTATCAAATTATATAAAAAATTGCATTATCTTTTGCAATCGATTAGATACAATTATCTAATCAAATATCGTCAATATATTATAATAAACAAAGTTAAATATTGAGACCATCGTTCATTCAATGTATTTTTCATTCAAAATTCCATGTGCTTACCAAACTAATAATCAAGTTTTATGATCGAGTAAAAACTGGATCTATTATAGAAAGTGTATTATGTAATTGAGTACATACGAGATTTTAACAACAATATAACAATGAAAAATGTCTATGTAGCGAGATTGTTTAGTTAAACACACCTATTTGTTTTTTAAATCTTAATTTTAGCAGTTAAATTATGTGGAATTTTACAGAAATTTATTAGACTGATGTAATATATTGCTGGAAGAAAAGACCAGGTAGGTAGCCGCAAAAATGTTGGAATTGTGTTAAAATAAAATTACAGTTTGATTATTAGGATAGTGTTTTATTTAAAGGGTTTTTATACAACGTGGTCCTTAAATAAT